TTGATATTTTTATACATTACAAGTGATCCTCATAAGTCTAGTTACACCTGTTACCACACAAAGTTATTACAATATTATTGACTATATTCTCTATACTGTACATTATATCCCCATGACCTATTTATTTTATAACTGGCAGTTTATACCTCTTAATGCCCTTTACCTATTTTTCCCATCCGCTCAAATCCTTCCTCTTCTGGTAACCAATAGTTTGTTTCCTGTATCTAGGAGTCTGTTTCTGTTTTATTTATTTTTTAAATTCTACATATAAGTGAAATCATATGGTATTTGTTTATCTAACTTATTTCGCTTGGCATTATGCTAGGTTCATACATGTCACAAATAGCAAGATTTCACTGTTTTTCTATGACTGAGTAAAATTCTGTTATATATCCCATCTTCCTTATCCATTTATCTATCGATGAACATTTAATGATTTTATTTATTTGACAGAGGCACGGAATGAGTAGGATTTTTAGTGAGGGTTTTTTTTTTCTCATTTTAAAAGTAATAAGGTAATTTTTTTTAAACTTGGTATTTCTTTTTTTCTTTTTCTTTTTTTAAATTACTTATTTATTTATTTGATAGAGAAAGAGACAGCAGGAGAGGGAATACAAGCAGGGGGAGTGGGAGAGGGAAAAGCAGGCTTCCCACTGAGCAGGGAGCCTGATGTGGGGCTCAATGTGGGAGATGATATGGGGATCAATCGCAGGGCCCTGGGATCATGACATGAGCCAAAGGCAGACTCCTAACGAGGAAGCCACCCAGGTGCCCTAAAGTAATAAGGTACTTGTTAAAGACTTTTGAAAATGCTTAAAGGTAGACAAAGATAACCATTATTAACATTTGGTATAATTCTTTCTGGTATTTTAGTATAACATAAATCAGAGAAATTGGGCATACAGTCTTAAACTTAATATTTATTTTATGTTTATATGTATTCTCCATTTAAACATATATTCAAGTATTTTATTAGGTTATTAATAATAGTCTGAATAAAAATAGTTTCTAATACATGTACTTGTTTAATATGGTCCCTATTGTTAGACATTTTGGGTTTACTGGTTTTCACTATTAAAGAAGAAGAATGAGGGGCGCCTGGGTGGCTCAGCGGGTTAAAGCCTCTGCCTTCGGCTCAGGTCATGATCCCAGGGTCCTGGGATCGAGCCCCACATCGGGCTTTCTGCTCAGCAGGGAGCCTGCTTCCCTTCCTCTCTCTGCCTGCCTCTCTGCCTGCCTGTGATCTCTGTCTTTAAATAAATAAATAAAATCTTTAAAAAAAAAAAAAAAAGAAGAAGAATGAATGCTATAATTTACATAAATTGGATATGAAGCTTTCCTCATATTTAAGATTATTTTCTTCATTTAGATTGCAAGAAGTGAGAAAAAACTGGACAGAGAATGTGAACATTTAAATAGGTTTTGATTCATATTATTGAATTGCTTTCAAGGAGGATTGTAACAATTTATTCTTCCACTGAAATGTATGAGAGTGCCCATTTCACCACAGACAGGTGGGATTTCTGTAGGCAGCAATGGGCTTTAAGGGCATTTCAGAAAGATGAAACAGCACAAGTAAAGAAATAGAAATAGCTAAGAGCCTATAAACTTAGGGAATGAAGAGTAAGTAGTTCACTGTGGCCAGAGTGTAAATATGGGTGCATGAGAACCTAGGGAAAGAATAGTCTAGAAAGCTATGTTGGAAGCTGGATAATGGAGAATCTTGAGTGCCTGGCTAGGAATCTGGACTTCATTATGATGGCAATGGTAAACTATTTAGAATTTTTGACTATGAGTTTACATAATCTACATTTTAAGAAGGTACTTCCATAGCTAGGTGAGAATAGGATCTGAATTAGAGCAGGAATAGAAAGAAATATAAAATCTGATTCAGAGGCCGAATGGACAGGGCTATGTGGATTGAAGGAGAGAAAGGAGAGTCCAAGATGATACCAAAGCTTTGATAACTTGAAGATGGTGATGCATTACTCAAAATACAGAATTATTCTCCCTTGGGCTTATTCTAAAATACTTTTCAGGGGCAGACAGTGAAAGGGGCGTTTAGATGGAAGGAGAGAGAGAATTTGAATTTAGACTTTTTGAGAGAGACAATGTGTGTGTTGTGAGTAGCAGTAGGGTAGGCAGGTGGGAAATTTGAATTTTTAAAAAGATTTCATTTATTTCTTTGAGAGAGAGAGTGAGCAAGACAGACAGAACACAAGTGGGGAAAAACAGAGGGAAAGGGAGGAACACATTCCCTGATGAGCATGGAGCCCGATGCAGGGCTCCATCCCAGGACTCTGGGATCGTGACTCAAGCCAGTGGCAGAAAATTAACTGACTGAGCCACCCAGGTGTCCAGAAATTTTGATTAAAAAAAAAAAAGATTTATTTATTTATTAGAGAGAGAGCACACATACATGGCAGGAGGGGCAGAGGGAGAGAATCTTCAAACAGACTCCCTGCTGAGTGTGGGGGCAGTGAGGGCAGTTGGGGGCCTGAGGCTCCAATCTCATAATCCATGAGATCACAGCCTGAGCTGAAACCAAGAGTCAGTTGTTTAATCAACTGAGCCAACCAGGCTCCCCAGAAATTTGGATTTTTAAGCAAATCTGTCAAGTTGGAAGTTGGACATGGAAGTCTGTTGCTTAGTAGAGAGATTGTTTTTAGAGACTATGAATTGGGTATCATCCACATAATGGCAACAGTTGAAACTCAAATTGCAGATGTGTTTGCTCTAGTATAGCTGGAGCTAGAGCATGAGGGACAGGTGGAAGAAAATAAGAAATGAGGCTAAAGCTGATATTGCAAAATGAGTCAGGATAGTGTTACGTCGTAGATGCCAAAGAAATAAGTGTAGTACAGAGTTTATAAAGCAGAGAAACTGTTCACATTTCTGTGCCATTACATATCCTTTATAGGTGACTGGGCCATTTATTTTCCTCCTCTAGAACATGAGCAATTCCACTCATCTGAAAACTTAATACAAGGAAGTAGTGCCTTCTCTGTGAAACTTTTAGGCAGTTAGGCATCTCCTCATCTATGGCCCATAGCCATTGAGACATATATCATTATACCATGATGTTTTGTATTTTATTGTTTTAAAAATATATCTAATTCCCCACTGGACTCTTATGTGAGCTCTTTTGGGACAGGATGATTTCTCGTTTATTTTCGTATTTCCAGGGCCTAGAAAACGCCCATCGCATTGTAGATCCCTAATAAATGTTCATTGAATGAGTAAGTGTTAAGAAGGGGTTTTGGATTTAAACACTAAAAGATATAAATGGTCTTCCAGAAGAGCAGTTTCAATAGAGAAGGGAAGTTAAAAAAAAAAAAAAATAGAGAAGTTAGAATACACGTTGTAGGAAGTCAACAAGAAAAAAGATATAAGTGAAAATATTGCTTCATATCCCTGGTCCAGGCCCAAGCAGATCAGTGCTGTGAATAGGTTACAAGTGAACAAAGATGTTGTTTCCCCCAACTACTTCCCAATAAGCCATACAAATACTACCATCTTCTATGTGTGCCATGTATTGTATTAGAGATACAAGGACAATACAGATCTTTACCCCAATGGTGCATCCCGAATACAATATAAATATAATTCATAAAGTACTCCAGTATGCATAAGACATTTTTGGAGCATAGAAAAAAGACATTTTACCCAGCTTAAGGATTTAGAGGGAAATTTCTGTTATAGAGAATGCCTTGGCTGGTTTGAAGGAAAAGGAGAAATAAACCAAGTGAGGAGAAAGAATGTTCCTGGCAGAGGGAACAGCATAACCAAGGTATGAAGATATTAAAGATAAAATGCTATGTATGGGAACTCTGTGCATAGTTAAATGTAACTGGAATAAAAAGTGGGAGACAAGTGCCAGCAATTGAGCCTGGTCAGACAGGCAGAGACCACAACCATAGATGACTTGTCTTCCCCACTGGGCAACATTTTTTTTTAAAGATTTTATTTATTCATTTGACAGAGAGATAGAGAGAGAGAGAGCACAAGTAGGCAGAGCAGCAGACAGAGGCAAAGGGAGAAGCAGGCTACTCGGTGAACAGGGAGCTGGATGCGGGGCTTGATCCCACGATCCTGGGATCATGACCAGAGCTGAAGGCAGCAGCTTAACCAACTGAGCCACCCAGATGCCCCCACTGGGGAACATTTATACCAAAGGGTACTCTGTAGAATAGTTATAACCCCAGTTTGTCATATTTGAGACACACCAGTCTGGAAGCAGCACAAAAGATGGATTTGAAAGTAAAGAAGACCACTTTGAAGGCTACAGGAATAGTTCAGGCAAAAGATGTCTGAAGCAAAGCAATAATGGAAGAAATGGAGAGGGGACAGAGGCAAGGACAAATATGTGGGAAATTAGATTGACTTGCTGCTTGATTAGATCTTGAGGAGCCTACAATAAATCCATAGTATCTTGTTGGGTGACTGTGTTGTGTGTGGTTGCCATTTAGTGAGTTAGGAAGTTCTGGAGAGGACAATATGGTAGAGAGGGTACTGAATTCCTTGGACATACTGAGTTTGGAGAAACTAAGATACATGGAAGTGGGTATGTCCAGATAAATAAGTCCATATTTCAGGGCAGAGAATAGAGCTAGGGCTTGAGCTTTGGAAACTATCAGCATATAGGTTATAGCTAAAATCATAAGAAAAATGTAGGCTAAGAGGAGTAATGAGAAGAGGATGGAGCCCTGGAGGAAAGACCAACATTTGGGGGCTAAGCAGAGGAATAGATATTTATAAAGGAGACTGAGAAGGAATGATCAGAGAAGTATTGTAGAAGATAAATCATGAAAACTGCTGAAGCCAGAACAGGAAGTGAAGAAATGGGAGCACTAATTAATTTTGAATGTCACTTTATAAGAAGCTATAAATGTTTATCATTGTTGTTATTATCATTATCATAATCACAGGAAAGCACTGGGTTGAAGCTCCATCAAATTCCTTATTTTAATTAAATATACACTTAAGTGCAAATATATTACCTGTTTTTCACGAGCCAGTAGTCTCTTCCATTAAGGTTACCATAGCCAACCACTAATACACCATGATTCACATTCTGAGTACAGGATGGGTCATAGTAGACACCTGAGAATAAAATGTGGGTGGAGAAAAAGAGTGAACCATATGTGGCAATGAAGGACATTTGAAAATGCTATTGCTTTTAGTAGACTGTTTTACATACATAGGAAGCAAGCTGAATTATAGTTTTAGGAACATATACTCTCATCAAACTAATTAGAGTTAATAATTCTTTGCCACAATGCTGTATTTGTCAGTTTTCTTGCCAACTTTGGCATCAATCCAATCACAGTTCCCTTGGAAATCTTTGATAAACAGCTACCTTTTTCTAATTATTTTTTTATTTTTATTTTTTATTATTATTATTTTTAAGATTTTATTTATTTATTTGACAGAGAGATCACACGCAGGCAGAGAGGCAGGCAGAGAGAGAGGAGGAAGCAGGCTCCCTGATGAGCAGAGAGCCCGATGTGGGGCTCGATCCCAGGACTCTGAGACCATGACCTGAGCCGAAGGCAGCGGCTTAACCCACTGAGCCACCCAGGCGCCCCTCTAATTATTTTTTTACAGATTTTAGTTATTTATTTGAGAGAGAGAGACCACAAGTGAGTATGAGCAGAGGGAGGGACAGAGAGAGAGAGAGAGAGAGAATCCCATGCAGACTCTGCACTGAGTGTAAAACCTGACATGGTTCTCGATCCCACAACCCTGAGATCACGATCTGAGTTGAAATCAACAGTTGGATACTTAACCAACTGAGCCACCCAGGTGCCCCTTTTTCTAAAGATTTTTAACTTATATCGCGTCAGTTACTGTATTTCTTTTTATATGTTCCTAAATTGTTTATTCCATATATTTTTATCCTTTACGATATGAAATGATCTTTGGGTGAGTTTGTATGCTTGTTTGTTTGTTTTAAATAAAACAGTAGAGTCATTTGGTTTAACACAATGTTCTAACATTGGCGGGTGCTCTCCTTATATCCCACAGTGCTGTACCAACAGTGCACAGTGGCTCCAGGGGTTAGGAGCCCAGGTTCTGAAGTCAAAGTAGCATGGTTTCTAATCCTTGCTGACCACTTCCAGACTGTATGACTTTATGCCAATTAATGTGTGACTTGTTCATCTGTGAAATAGGGCTATTGTGAGGATTAAATAAGATAATTCATGGAAAGAATTTATCATAGTACTCAGCATGAAGTATTGTAAATTTTGATGAGTATTACTTAACTAATTAGAACTGGATATAAAAAATATATATGAAAAAGGGGTGCCTGGGTGGCTCAGTGGGTCAAGCCTCTGCCTTCAGCTCATGTCATGGTCTCAGGGTCCTGGGATCAAGCCCCACATCGGGATCTCTGCACAGCAGGAAGCCTGCTTCCCCTTCTCTCCACCTGCCTCTCTGCCTACTTGTGCTCTCTCTCTCTCTCTCTCTTGTGTCAAATAAATAAATAGAATCCATATATATATATACATATATATATATATATATATATATATATATATGAAATGGAGGATTATGTTTAACCTGAACACTCGGAGGTGGGGTGATGGGGAAGGATAATATTCTTTCTTATGGTGCAGGGGCAGCATATAACAAGAAGATAGCATATCTGAGTTTTTACCACTTTTATACAGGAAGAAAGAAGAGTGTTTCGCATCAATAGCAACAGACACAGGTCCTTTATTGGCCACAGCTTCTTTCAAGGCATCTTCACTGCCAAAGGGAAGTTCAGTATACTTTGAACATGTAGCAGCTCGATGTTTTGAGTCATACCTGCAGTTTCCATCCTGCAAAAAAAGGTTATAAATCAAATAAATAAGTATCCTTCAGCTTCTTTTATATTACCAACATCCTAAGTCTGGATTTCAAATGTTTTCTTTCCTCATTTAGTCTTTCAAATGTCTAGGGTTCCTTCCTCATTTAAAAGAAGAAAAAGCAAATCTCCCAAAACCTTAACCCTTCCATGTTTCACCAGTAACAGAGGAAATACATAACTATCATATTGTTTTAAATTGTGAACATCTTTATGCATGCAGAAGTTGCTGGATAATGTCCCTCAGATTCTCAGGTGGATTGGGGAGGTATACTATGTAAAGATCATAAACTCTAACTAGAACTTTAAAATCTTTTTGATGATATAATGCCTACAAGATGACCTGCAGTTTAAATGATGGTTTACAAAGACCATATAATCTGAAAAACACCTAGAGTGTATATTTTAGTAGGAAAAGAGAGGTTACAAATTCACTTTTGTTGTGCATATACATATGGTTTTTTAAATGCTTAATAGGACAAAGAACTTGAAAGAAATAAACCAAATTAATGGTGGTTAGGGTAGGAGGTTTTAGAGTAGTATTTTCTTTATCTTTTCTAAATTTTCTGTAAAACAGATATATTAATTCATCTAACAAAACATGCAATGGGGGCACCTGGGTGGCTCAGTGGGTTAAAGCCTCTGCCTTCGGCTCAGGTCATGATCCCAGGGTCCTGGGATCGAGCCCCGTATCGGGCTCTCTGCTCAGCGGGGAGCCTGCTTCCTCCTCTCTCTCTGCCTCTCTGCCTACTTGTGATCTCTGTCAAGTGGATGAATAAAATCTTAAAAAAAAAAAAAAACATGCGGGGCGCCTGGGTGGCTCAGTGGGTTAATCCGCTGCCTTCGGCTCAGGTCATGATCTCAGGGTCCTGGGATCGAGTCCCGCATCGGGCTCTCTGCTCAGCAGGGAGCCTGCTTCCCTCTCTCTCTCTCTCTGCCTGCCTCTCCATCTACTTGTGATCTCTCTCTGTCAAATAAATAAATAAAAATCTTTAAAAAAAAAAACAACAACATGCAATGAACTTATGAGGAGGAAGAAGAGAGCATTATTTAGCTTTTTAGTTGGTAGGAGAATGGTGTGACTGATGATCTGAGAATAAGGTTGAGCATGGGAGGCTGTAGGAAAAACAAGTTGAAATACCAGGCAGATGGACAGAAAGAATTCTAAGGCTTACTGAAAATCCATTTTTTGTGAATTCTTCTTGCTTAAAACCAGTGTGCCACTGATGAATTAAGAAGACTACTGAAAAAGGAAGTGAACTCTTAAAAATTTAAGAATTCCTGACCAGGATTTTCATACACTGCTTCTCAAGTGATTGGCTTGGTTGTGGGTTTAGTTCAGTTAGTCAAGGGATAGCATAAGGTCCCAGGGCAGCACAAAAAGTTTGCTTGTGACACACCATGGCTTTGTAAGGATAGGAAACTTCCGAATCGATGCCGTTGTTATCAATGATATACTGGAAAGCCTCTGTCATGAAGCCACCATTGCAGCCTTTATTTCCATATCTTTCAGTTGAGCAATCTACCAGGTTCTGTGCACTCAGAGACACCAGATTTCCTGTTTTCAGCTTCAGCTGTGCTTCCAGGGCCCCCACAGCACTGAACGCCCAACAAGCCCCACAAGCACCCTAAAACAGAGACAAGGGCACAGAGGTAATCATAGAAAGTCAGGAAGGAGGACTTCCATCCCACGAACTGTGTACCTCCCAACGTGTCAGTTCTGTCAGTTGTTACAGGAACAGATCCCCCCACTACAATTTCTTCATTTCTTAGACATGGACATAAAGACTATATATACTTGATTGTTCTCTGAGGAAGGTCCAATATTAATAGAGATTTGCAAATGGCCAAGCTCAGAGCATAATTGCCATAGTCAAATATATAAAGAAAGGGTACCCCCTGAGCCTGCACTAGATCCCAGCTATCTTCACCCTTAAGTAAGGTAGATAGTCATCTACAGTATAGTGATTTTGAGAGGAGCTAGGGATGATTCTCTTGACCTTAAATACCCTTTCTCCTATCAAATAAGGCCTGAAAACATAAGGTAAAATTTTTTCAAACATTTTTAGCTTCATAATTTTTGGATCAAAGATAGTTTACAAGGAAGCATAAACAAACAGAAAACACAAAGCTGCTTTAGTTAAAAAAAAGTCCAGAGCCCTATCATAATTGTTCTCTCTTGCTTCTTCCTTCATTCTACCTTGCTCTCTACCCAAAGGAAGCAAACTGAATTTGCTTTTGGTTAAAGCAAAATCACTCATTAAAATGCAATCTTCCAGGGAAAGGAGCTCATTGGATTATTTATAGTTAACACCTAAACATGTACTTTATTGGATTGTCCCAAATTTTATTTAATTTCTTTATTTTTTTAAGTAGCCTCCATGCCCAACATGGGGCTTTAACTCATGACCCTGAGATTTAGTGTCCTATGCTCTACTGATTGATCCAGCCAGAAGCCTCCAACTTTTATTTTAGACAAGCTCTAGTAAGAAACCTAAAACCAATTACAAGAAAAATATCTAGGAAGAAAAGAATAAGATATTAGCAGGACCATTTACTTCTTAATTTTTACTTTTGGGGTGCCTGGGTGGCTCAGTCTGTCAAGCGTCTGCCTTCACCTCAGGTCATGATCCCAGGGTCCTGGGATTGAGCCCTGCGTCAGGCACCCTGCTCAGCAGGGAGTCTGCTTCTCCCTCTCCCTCTGTCCCTCCCATACTTGTTTTTTCTCTCAAATAAAAAAATAAATAAAATCTTTAAAAATATATGTTTACTTTCTTCTTTGGTTACCAGCTAGGGCAGCTGCTCAGAACACTCGGCTTCCTCTCCCTTACCCTGACCTCTAAGGTGATACATGTGTTTTACCCTTAGTTACCCCTAACTAATTTAGGATTTTTGCTGCTTTTTTTTCTTTTTAAAGTAGTCTCCATGGCCAGTGTAGAGCCCAACATGAGGCTTGAACTCATGACCCTGAGATCGAGACCTGAGCTGAGCTCAAGAGTCAGATGTTTAACTGACTGAGGCACTCAGGCATCCCTTAAAGTGAACTAAAGGAAATACAAAAACATAGGAACAAATTTATAAAAACCCATACTGTACTTCTTACTGTAACAGTGCCAGCCTAGTCATGAGTAAACTAGACTGGTACAATTTCAGCTCTAGGTTTTTCCTCTCTTTCAACCCTGAAATGGAGGGAGAGATATCCTGATCGATATTCTCTCTCACACACAATACTGTTTCCCAAGCAATTGGCTTAGTAGAAGATCCAGTGCAGTTGATCAATAGCATGAGCACTAGAAATCTGTCTGAAAGAAATATATTTGCTCAGTTCACAGTTTTGTCTAATGGAGTTCTAACCATTGGTATTCTAACCATTGGTATTGATTATTATTAATCAATAATCAACTAACATTTACGTAAGTATGGGCGCCTGGGTGGCTCAGTGGGTTAGGCCTCTGCCTTCGGCTCAGATCATGGTCTCAGGGTCCTGGGATCAGACCCTGCATCGGGCTCTCTGCTTGGTGGGGAGCCTGCTTCCCCCTCTCCCTCTGCCTGCCTCTCTACCTACTTGTGATCTCTCTCTGTCAAATAAATAAATAAAATATAAAAAAAAAAAGATTTACATAAGTATGCTAACTTACTCTAAAAGATTGTGAGTAATCTTTAGACAATGCTTTCTATAATTAATTTTAAAAACCAAAAGCAATAGTACCCTGCAAGTTTCAAGTGTTCCTCTAAAAAATTTGTTGAAGAAAGTGGTTACAGTAGGACTAAACAAGATCTAAACCTTGGGGAATACAAATAAAGTATGATATGTGGTCGTTGTCCCCAAGGAGCTTACAATTTAATTGGGAAGACGAGAATAACAAAAATCATTAGAAATAACATTAGGGAGATTCCACTGCCAAATTATGGAGCTAGACTAAGTATTGACAGAGGAGAGAGCTCTTCCTGGATACAGAAGCCTGGGATGACAATACTCACCTGGTATTTCACTTCAGTAACACACCCCTTCTCTCTCCAGTCCACAGAATCAGGCAATTTCTGATTAGAATTTGACTTGTAAGTGACATTTGCCTGCCATTGGCTGGGAACTCTCAGGGAACTCATCAAAGATGACACTTCTTCACTGGTCTGCAAGACAAATATATATATCTCCTTTCACTTATGACCTTCTTTTCAATATTCTAATAACTGTAACTGTGAACGTATTTAACAATTGAGAAAAAACAGTGGTAGTTGTGACCAACATAGGTACTGCTAACTATCAGATAGGTGAACTATCTGGGTCTCTTTCACACTTTGTCTTAGCACCCATTTAGGCATTGGGAAGAAGAAGAAAGTGGTAAAAACTAAGTCACAGGGAGGCAGATTTTTGTTTTAGAGCAAGGCAGAATTTTATTCAAGGGCTGTCTAAAAAGTGGACTGAACTGGGGCACCTGGGTGGCTCAGTGGGTTAAAGACTCTGCCTTTGGCTCAGGTCATGATCTCAGGGTCCTGGGATCGAGCCCCGCATCAGACTCTCTGTGCAGCGGGGAGCCTGCTTCCCCCTCTCTCTGCCTGCCTCTCTGCCTGCTTGTGATCTCTGTCTGTCAAATAAACAAAATCTTAAAAAAAAAAAAAAAAAAAGGTGGACTGAACTGGTTTTCCTTGTGAGAAAGAATTATAAAGGAGATGCCGCATTTAAGTAGAAATTTAACCTACCCAGTGTATTCTCTTCCAAGAGGTACTACGATTCTTAATTTCGGCCTCAACAGTAAAGTTTTGTAGGCAGAAAAAAATTTAAAAACTAATGGGAGAGTATTTGTGATATTAAATACCCACACTCCCTCATTAAGAAAGAAGGTAGACTATATTGAATTATCAGTCTAGACATACATAAGTATGGTAACTTACTCTAAAAGATTGTGAGTGATCTTGGGCAGTGCTTTCTAGAATTAATTAAAAAAAAAAAGCAATACTAGCCTATAAGTTTCAAATATACCTCTAAAAATTTTATTAAGGAAAGTGGTCACAGTAGGATGAAACAAGGAATCTGTAAATTCTTACGTCCTTAAATTCTACTGTTTTCTAACTTTGCATATGTACACACACACACACACACACACACACACACACACACACATATTCCTTTGCTGTTTACCTTCAAATTGCCTTTGGGGAGATGGAAATCATACATACACAGAGATGAAAGTAGGATTATTTGTAATTTACTTACCATGTCTGCCAGATGGTTCATGCCTAGATCATATGAATGCATTCCCATTGAGTATTCCAGATTGTGAAGCATCACAGATTTTAGATTCTTTTCCCAGATAAGACGCCTTGCTACTTCCTCGTTCTAAAATGTAAGGAAAAAGAACATAGTCCCAGCCATTTCTTAAAAGATATTGTAGGTTCATAAAAAAAAAAAAAAAAAGATATTGTAGGTTCAGTTCCAGACCACTGCAGTAAAGCAAATATCACAGTAAAGTGAGTCAAATGAAGTTTTTGGTTTCTCCATGCATATAAAAGTCACGTTTACACTATACTATAGTTTATTAAGTGTGCAAAAGGATTATGTTATTTGAACTTTGAGATAAATTATCAAGGAAGAATACTAATCAAAAGTAATTTTCATTCCTTCCAAGGGACTGGAATCATTAAAAAGAGAGAAAGTATTCACTTAACCAGATAGTGGTGCTAACTGAAAATCTTACTCTAGTTTAAACTTGAAATTAGAGCCTTGTTTCTCAAGGCACCTGGATGAGGGTAAAATTCATCACTACTAAGAAAACAACTCAGTGCACATCCTACTGAAAGTGTCATTTTTATACAAAATAATGTATCAAATTAATACATAATTCTTGCTTACAGAGTCAAAATATACACACACACATACACACATATATCTTAGAGAACTTTTTTTAAGATTTTATTTATTTGAGAGAGAGTGAGAGAGAGCACAAGAGCAGGGTGGGGGCAGAGGGAGAAACAGATCCCTGGCAGAGCAGGGAGACCAATGTGGGGCTCCATCCAGGACCCCAGGATCATGACCTGAGCCAAAGGCAGATGCCCAATGGACTGAGCTACTTAGCCCCCCATAAATATATCTATATATCTTAAAGATTTTATTTTTAAGTAGTCTTCCATACCCAACATGAGACTCCAACCCACAACCCCAAGATCAAGGGTTACATGCTCCACTGACTAAGCCAGCCAGCTGCCCCTCAAATATTTTTTTAAAGTCTCCATGCCCAACATGGAGCTTGAATTCAGGACCCTGAGATTAAGAGTTATGATTAAGAGTCTCCAGCCTAAGCCAGCCAGGCACACCCAAATTCAGAAATATTATATAGATATAGGACTTAGTTATTTGAGGCCCTAGGGTTAAAGTCTTAAAAAAAAAAAAAAAAGATACTATTTATTTGACAGAAAATGAGCAGGGGAGAGGGGTAAGGGGGGAGGGAGAAGCAGACTCCCTGTTGTGCAGGGAGTCCAACACGGGGCTCGATTCCAGGACCCCTTCCAGGACCCCAGGATCATGACCTGAGCCAAAGGCAGATGCTTAACTGACTGGGCCACCCAGGTGCCCTGGTTAAAGTCTTAAAAATCAATAAGTATATGGGGCGCCTGGGTGGCTGTTGGTTAAGCGTCTGCCTTTGGCTCAGGTTAGGATCCCAGGGTCCTGGGATGGAAACCCACATCAGGCTCCCTTCTCAGCAGGGAGCCTGCTTCTCCCTTTCCTCTGCCTGCTGCTCCCCTGCTTATGCTCTCTCTCACTATCTCTCTCTGTGTCAAATAAATAAGCAAAATCTTTTTTAAAAAATCAATAAATATGCATTGAAATAAAAACAAAAGTACATCGTGGGAATTCAAAGTCAAAAACAACATCTGGTAGTGCTTCTGTGTGCTAGGGACTGAAATAGGTCTTTTTGTTCTCAAACATGTACCCTACCTCCCTTGACCTGGAACCTGCATTCTATTTACAACTTTGCTTCCTGGCTTCTATGAATTCTCAGCTCACATGTCATCTTCGATAAGGGTACTTCCCTGAGCTTTCTGTTACGTATCAAGAAAAATCACTCCCAACCCCTCGCAGCCGTCTCCCAAAGCCCTCCAGCTCTAGGTCTCACTAGATCCCCCACACTTTGTTTTTTTCTACCGCACTTATCACCACCTACCATACTATATTCTGCTTATTTATTTACTTAATTCCTATCTCCCCTGCTATGATATGAGCTCCACAAAAACAGGAACGTTGCTTTGTTTCCTGCTATATCTCTGGTACCAAGAATAGAATCTGGCAAGAAATGAGTGCGTAAGCATTTACTGAAATCATTGCTTGTACGAATATCATTTTGAGGGGTACAAAGTACAGGATACTCGAGCAAAAGCAAATTGATCAAGTGATGATCCCACCTACCTTTTCCTGGTATTGTCTGCCATAGGTTTTCTTCCAGAGATTCCAGTGATGATCCAGAGTGGGATCATTCTGTACCTGGGCAACTGCATAGGAGCTCGCCAGGAGTCCCCACACCAGCCATTTCCTTTAGTTAAAGGAAAGGTAACAGAAGAAGAATAGTTATTAGCTGCATATATTGTGGCCAAATTTTTACATTAAAAAAATCACACTGTAAAGTCTGTCGAAAGGACAATACAAATCAGAACTAAACAGGAAACTTCCTGGGATTTATTGTCACAGGGAGGTAGTCTGTAGATTTATGACTGGAATACCACTTCTAATACTTAGTAGCATTTTAAAAAGTGATTTTCAGAAATTTCCTGATACCTGGTATACCAAACTTTCATCCAAGGTAGGAGGGATTGGGTATTGTGAGGAGGCAGGGACTTTATAGGATTTGCCAACAAATCTAACCAAGGGACATCACCCCCTACCATCTTTAAGAGGAGGGAAAACCTTTAAAAAATCAGTTTAACTTCATAATTTTTGAATACCTGGGCTTTTCTTAACTTGTCTATTTAAACATCCACAACATTTAGAGGTAGTTGAAAGACAACTCCCATGTATTGCTTTCAAATCCTAGAGTCATTTTATTTTTTTTTAACTAGTTTTTCCAATAATCAAAACAGCTATTTCAAAGGAAGCACTTATGTACTTTTGAAAACACCACTTCTGTGTTTAAAACAAAAAGATTTGAACAGTAATTCAGTGACTACCTCCCTCAAACTGGATTCTACTTCCTTTTCTGTTTCTTTTAAATTCAAAACAGCTTCAAATTATTCCAAAGAAAGCTACGTTTTAGCCTCAGATTTAGATGTGCAAACAGACATTAACTTTTCGAAAATAGATTCTTTTTAGTCAAAGAAACAAGAGGCAAATTGAGTGGCATAATATTTTTGTTTACTTCCTGGAACCAGTGGTTTAAAGCCTGGCAGGCACAGCACGCTAAAGGCACAAACAGAGGGTTTAAAGACCAAAGAGTAGAAAAAGACCAGAGAGTACGTACATGATAGAACTGGCAGGTGCTCCCATAGTAAGCATGCCTGAAGGCAAAGCCCTCTCCAAAGGTTTGAAGGCAGCAAACAGACCTCCGTTAAATTGACTTTAAAAAGATACTGGGCTTGTCACATGAGGTACCCACAATGAGGAAGTGAACTTTCATTTCAGTTTCATTTAAAATCTAACCACATCAGCTATCTCTGGCCCTCACCCCTATAGTTTTAGAGTTAATGTGGGTACAGTAAGCCATCAAAAACCACCCCCAGGGGAGCCAATCAGTAGAACAAACTCAGTAAAATAGGAGCAGTTCCAGTTTACCTTTTAATCCCTCATCATTTGGATAATTCACTTCAAAACACCAACTTTCAGACGGAAAAATTTAGTTATGAAGACAATAGGATTAGGCTCCTGAAATCCGAGTTTCCTCCAGACTTTCCTACAAATACCTGTAAACTTCTGTGATTACTGTTGTCTCATTCTTACTCAACTATTCCTTGATTCATAATTAAAATATCTTTTTTTTAATTATTTATTGGGCACCTGGGTGGCTCAGTTGTTTGGGTGACTGCCTTCGACTCAGGTTGTGATCTTGGGGTCCTGGGATTGAGTCCCGCATCTGGCTCCTTGCTCAGTGGGGAGCCTGCTTCTCCCTCTTCCATTCCCCCTGGTTGTCTCTCTCTCTCTCTTCTCTCTGACAAATAAAAAAATAGAATCTTTTAAAAATTGAATAACTGGGCACCTGGGTGGCTCGGTGGGTTAAGCCTCTGCCTTCGGCTCGGGTCGTGATCTCAGGGTCCTGGGGTCTAGTCCTGCGTCGGGCTCTCTGCTCAGTGGGGAGCCTGCTTTCTCCTCTCTCTCTCTCTCTGACTACTTGTGATCTCTGTCTGTCAAATAAATAAATAAAATCTTTTAAAAAATTGAATAACTATGTAGATAATTCCTGTACATGGCAATGCAAATGAATTTTGTCTAGTAGATTCTACTGAATAGAGAATGTAAATGGCTGTCACTTCAATTCTTATTTGAACCAGCTTTAGTATCTTACTGATCCCATATCAATTGATGACTTGAATAAAATATTGATACATGTTTATTTTATATTTGCACAAGTCATATTCTCAAATTTTTAGAAACTATACTTTAGCAATTAAATCCTGAAATAACTCCACATTAGTATATATAGTCCTCATTTATTTTTTATGGCCATTTAGCATCTTTTTTTTTTAAATTTTATTTTTCATAAACATATAATAACTTTTTATCCCCAGGGGTACAGGTCTGTGAATCGCCAGGTTTACACACTTCACAGCACTCACCATAGCACATACCCTCCCCAATGTCCATAATCCCACCCCCCAACCCCCCTCCCCCCATTA